CAACCCCTCAACCCTTACCACAATAAACCTGTTAAACCTTTGCCTTGCTCTCTGAGTGGTTCTCTGCATTTTGGGTCAGATCCTTAAATAAATCATGACAGCACATAGGACAACAAAAAATATGAGTTTTCATTCATGCCCAGGACCTTAATAAGGTCATAAAGAGGGAACACTTTTCACTCTGAACAGTAGAAGAAATGTCAAATGCAGAAGCATTTTCAGTACTGAATGCAAACCATAGATTCTGGCAGATTTAGCTAGATGAAAACAGTTCTGGGGCTTCTCAGTGGCACAATGATTAGCACTGCTGCCTTGCAGCAAGAGGGTTCTGGGTTTGAATACCACCCCGTGTTCTTTCTGGATGGAGTTTGTATGTTCTCCCTGAGCATTCGTGGGTTCTCTCCAGGTCCTCCAGCTCCCACAGTCCAAAAACATGACATGACATGACTAAGATGTGTTAGGTTAATTGGCTTCCCTAAAAATTCTCCTTAGGTGTGAGTGTGTGCGTGGATGGTTGTTGTCCTGTCTGTCTCTGTGTTGCCCTGTGATGGACTGGCGACCTGCCATGGGTGTACCGTGGGACCTCAGGGGTCAAAAGGCAAAACAGGTTAGGATCAGGAAGTCAGAATGCAAACAGGTACACTAAATAACTCTCACCAAAGGCTCAAGAATAATCTGAACCTGATGACTGGTTAGAGGGCTGGTTAAATAGAAGCTGGAGCAGAGCTAGGCAGGAGAATAAAATTAGTAATCAAGCCAGTCATCAGCGCCAGGATCATTACATTTTGCTTTTCATCAACCAATTTCCTGTTTAAACAATTCAGTCTGCTCCAGATTGATGTGGATTTCAAAAGGTTTTTCAGAATAGAGACCAGTGGCTGGAGTATCTACGATACTTTGGAAGTGTGCCGTGGTAAACGCAATTTGATTGACTTCAACTGCTGTGATCAACTGCCACAGCCCAGTGGAGCCACACCAAGTTGCATATGCTTCACTTCCACATCCAATGGAACCGAGGGATAAGTGTCAGAGTTACCCCTTTCAAGTTACAGCTCAGTTATATAGACCGAATTGACCTCAATTTTGATGATGTTGCCTTATTTAGTTTTGGCCTGTACTATTGTCATGTCTCGAAATGAACATACAGACCAGCCCACTGGTTCACTGGCCCAAGAAGATGAATAGAGGTAGATGTAAGACACCAATGTAGCTGTTTAGTCTAAAATTGGGTTTACTCCTACAAGAATTACAAAGCAGGCAGTTTCTTTGTTGAAAATGAGTCAGAAACACAGGCATGAATGCAGTGTTCCACGCTGCATGTAGAAAGGGAACATTTTTCACAGTCTTCCAAAGTATCTGAAGACTTGAAAGGCATGGATTATTTTTGCGTATCAGAAGATCCCGGCAAAGTTTGATGCTCAGCCGATCATTTGCTCTAAGCATTTTACCAGAGACAGCTTTCAAAATGCAAGATTTGCTAAACTTCTTTTCCTGAAACACGTGGCTGATCCGACCGTAAGGCCATCACAACCGCAAGCTGTAAGTATTACATTGACCCTAAGCTGTTGATAGCAATGCTAGCATATCTATGGTGACCAGATTTGGGTTTCTGAAGAGGAAGACACTTGTTACTGGGATTGGTTTGCTGGGCCGCTGACTGGACAATATCGGGCATTCAAACCCAGTTGTGAGCCCCGGGGCTGGTCCAGGAACGGGGGGTGACGGAGGAACTGAACCCGACCCGACCCGACTTTGAAATTCCCTCTTAAATGTATTTCACCTGTGAAATATCTTTCTGGCTGTAAAACAATGAATGCAAAGTGTTCCACAAGGTTCTTATACTGTATGTCTTTCTTTGGTGCTTCTCCTAGTTCATTGCAGCATTCAGAAATCATACACCCCTATAAAAAGATCCTGTTTGTCTAGGTAAACTCCAAACAGAAATAAGTTCTGCTGGCACTGGTACAACATTTACTGGTTTCTCAGGTTTCGCTCGTAGGAGCCGTTGGATCGCTAATCCCTCTGTGACCACACAAACTGTTGCTAAACTGTAAGCAACAAACTAGTGTTTGGCTTGGTCTGGGATACATCTGCAGGAGAAATTGAAGCTGGGAATATTTGATGTGGTTGGGAAGTGAATCAGCACGAAGAGAAATTCAAATGGATAAAGAAAAAGTCTCCTGTCCCATCTGTTTGGATCTACTGAAGGATCCAGTAACTATTCCCTGTGGACACAGCTACTGTATGAACTGCATTAAAAACCACTGGGATGGAGAAGATCAGAGGAGGATCAACAGCTGCCCTCAGTGCAGGAAGGAGTTTATACCAAGGCCTGAACTGGTGATAAGCATAGTGTTAGCAGAGTTAGTAGAGGAAGTGAAGAAGACTGGACTCAAAGCTGCTGCAGTTGATCACTGCTATGCTGGACCTGAGGATGTGGGCTGTGATATCTGCACTGGGAGAAAAGGGAAAGCTGTTAAGTCCTGTCTGGTCTGCTTAGTTTCTTACTGTGAGAATCACCTCAAACCTCACTATGATGTTGCTCAGTTAAAGAAGCACAAGCTGGTGGACCCCTCCAAGAAGCTCCAGGAGATTGTCTGCTCTCGTCACGATGAGGTGATGAAGATCTTCTGTCGTACTGATCAGCAGTGTATCTGTTATCTCTGCTTATTGGATGAACATAAAGATCATGAGTCAGTCTCAGCTGCAGCAGAAAGGACTGAGAAGCAGAAGGAGCTCCAGGAGAGACGACAA